AACGTCATCGATAATTTTATTAAGCAATATAACTGAATTTTAGCTAATGATATAATTATTACTATTTAGCATGAATAATTTCAAGTCATAATTTCCTTCAATAAATATATGAATCACTTGACGAAATCCCAACCTAATTCTACAAGAATAATAATTATTGGTAAATTTATGTCGACTAATCGAAAACTAAATAAAAATTAATATTCATTCTAGTCTCAACGATTCATGTTCGACGATTTCCAAAATATAACGTTAAGTTGGGAAACTTTTTGATTGGATAATCAACTATGATTACAATGTGTTAATGTGATGAAGTGTGTAAACATACATGCAAACATAAAAAGAAAAATACAAGAATTATAACTACATCGTTTTTCAAAATGACTAAGTTAAATACTACAAATTTTATGTCTAAAATATGAAAAATTCGTAAATTAATCAATCAATACGATAATTTTTTTGATATTCCGTGCTGAAAAAAATCGTCATACCAACATGACTATAATCCGAGATTAAAAATTCGAGTTATTTCAATGTATTTATTTGATAAACGAAATTCTTTTTAATGAAAGAATTAATTGACGATAATCATAGCATTATCATCATCATCATCATCATAAGTAAAGAAGTTAATAAAGTTTTAGAGAACATGGAAAAAATTATGAGAAAATTCTAAATCAAATAATATTATAATGCATGAAATGTCGTTGAGTAATTTTTGTAAAAATTTTTGTCTAAATCAGCATTTTTACGTTTAAAATTATGAAAGTGTTAAACTACTACAAGTTAATAATTTTAGAAAGTTAATTATACTAATACAATATAATAATAGTCGATAAGATTATCACTATCGCATACAATCATACATCCGCTTATAATATTAATATATTGGCAATATATTATGGTTATTGGCCATTAGTGATCCTTCCATTTACCAAGAAATTCACATCGCTGTTTTCGATATGTGGACTTTTTGAACCTTCGCTCCTCTGATGTAGTATCCTCGGATGTACTGCAGATGACGGAACAATGATAATTAAGCAATGATGTATATGATGATTTTTTTATCGGCTGAAATTATTCGCGGCCCTCATTGAGCACTGAAATCTGAGTATTTTTTTAGTTCTTTTAATCATTTATGATGCTTATATGGATAACGTTTTCACCCCGTCAATTTCAATCTTCGCTACGACGTACTTTTTTCTTCTAGATCATTCGAATCGTTCGATTATTCATGAGTGGAATAAGAATTTTTGGTCAATGATCATTGCCCGAGTACAATTAAGTAACAAAATCGACAATTCGAGTAGCGATACTGGCGCCTCTAATTGTTAATTGTCGATGGCAAATAGGTGAGTTTTCGACCAAGTCGCAGTCTTAGTGCGATCGTCGTCTCGCAACTATTTTTCTGATAAATTATACACGACAATGACCAAGTCACCATTACTTTTTACACTCGTGCAAAATGCATTGTTCCTTATAAATTTAGTAGATAAGGAAAGACACATTCTCATCTGCTTCCTAATCGGTGTACTATTTGCTAGTTATCTAACTGGCATTATTATTTTTAGATTATCATAATGCTAGATATTTTTTAACCTGCTGCTGCACCGCTCTGCCTATTATTTTATTTATAAATTACAACAATAGCTTCTGAAAATAGTATCTAAAATGGAACAATATTCTAATATTCTGGATTAAGTCGAAGCCATCGCGAGGATTTTTTTGTTCCAATCGATATAAGTATCCAAGAGAACGAGGAACGCAAGAGTCTAATTTCGGATTCTTGGTATGATGATCATGGCAATTTAAACAACAAACTGAGTTTCGGCACATTGAGTAAAATATTTATCTTCGTCCACGTCAATGCGTAGATGGCTTTAACGTCTCAGGATGAAAGGAATCCTAAAGCAAATGTCGCGATAATAGTAATTACTGAGAATGATTCTTCTCAATGGGGAAATCATTTGGATGCTTAAGGGTATCATAGTACTGTTATCGAGTCCATGGTGAGGGCTGGGCAAACAGGTTGCGCCTCTGTTTCATCATCGGATAACTTGGAGTTGGAGAGTGGAGGATTCAGCCACGCCCAGCAGCAAGAGGACGGAGCGGAGGAGGCAGGCGTGTCTCTTTTGCCAAAGAAGAGGGAGGCAATAGAAGAAGGATACCTCGTCACTGCAAGGTAGGTATTTATATTTGAAAGCATATGTATTTGTCACTAGGATATTTGGATGTCACCAAGCAAATGTCGAGTGTTGATGCAGTGGATGATGCATAGCTGATACCATACGCGTTTTCTTTCCTTTTACTTACTTTTCAATACGTCTATCATTATGACGAAGCGCGCATGCATATATACACCCCCCCTCTCTCTCTCTCTCTCTCTCTCTCTCTCTCTCTCTCTCTCTTATCTTATAATGCTTTGCAGATAAAAACATTGATGGAACATTAACTAGCGATGTTACGCTGAAACAAGAGTTGTTAAATAAAGAATTGAAAAATAAATATCTTCAATGCTCTTGCTCGTATATTTTTATTTGTATTTTATATTTTCATTTGAATTTTAATTACATAAAATTTGCAAAACGAGCAGTATTTTTGTATCTAATAGCTAGGAACAAATGTTGGTTGTTTTTCTTATTTTCGTTTGTAATATGTGAGGAACTCATCACTAAAAATAATCACCAAATACTTTATAAAAGATAAAGTATAATCGATCAATTCCGAATAAATAATTTGACAGGAATCAATGTTTAATTTTGAACTTATTTAAGCGTTTAAACAATACGTTGCTTTCAAGACAATTTAATAACATTGATTTCTTTGCTTTCAATATACTTTTTTTTTATTATTTTATTTATTTTTTTTTTTATAAAAACCACGATGTTATAATAAATAATATAATCGTATAAGATATATTCATATACCAATAAATATGTTACTGGAGAGAAACTAATTTAAATAATTATAAAAAATAAATAAAAAAAAAAAAAAAAAGTGAGAAATAATTTAATATAATAAGATATAAATTATGTAAAGAAAGAAAAATGAATAAAAAATATAATATACTTTCATATCTTAAATTATATATTCATAATCTAAATATAATCAATATTATTATCTTAATTAACACTTAACTATACGTTTATTACATATATTTTCATTATATTTACAATCTGTTCATAGAATAAAACTTTCTTTCGGAACATAAGTAGCAAAACTAATCATATATGTCAGATAAAATATGTTGCTTTGTTGCTAATTTTGATACTTAAATATAATATGTCCGTAGTTTCTCTACCGAGTTTTAATTAAATTAATGAAAGTTTTAATTAAGCAATGAAAGTCTTACTTTATCGATCAAGACTCTCGACTAAGTTACTGCATACTCCATGATATTACAGTATGAATATAATGAACCAATTTATTGTATTTAATTTATAAATTAAAAATTTAGATTTAAAGAAACTTTTTAAAATCAATTTTCACACATAAGAAATATAATTTATATTTATCACATTCATAATAGCATATAATAAATGTTTTTATAATACAATCAAATATATAATGTAATATATTTATAACGTAATATTGCATTAGAATGCATTAAATATTATTTTAATAATACAATAAAATATAATAAAGATATATAAATTAAAATCAATTCACTAATAATCATTCAATTGGAGCTTGTTGTTAATAATTGTGATGCAGTTAAAAAGATAACGACATTGATTTATTCTGTAATGTAAAAATATGTTAATATAAACACAATTTTAACTTTTAGTTGATGGCGATAAATTACTTTAGTATTACGAAGAGAAAAAAAATTCATTTGAATCATAACATTAAAGATTTTTAGTTCACAAGTACTCGGTCGTTATTCATAAAATTCATTTATTATCAAATTTTAACTGATTTATCAAATTGTTAATTAATAGAATAATTTTTTTAGTTACTGTTGTAAACTGAATAATTGAATGATTTAACAAATAGCAAATATCAAAAATGTAATATTACTAATATGGCATATTAATTAAAAATATGTTCATATACAGTATATCTGTGATATATTAACCGGAGATATGAATTATCGACATTGATAATAAGTTATATCAATACATTAGTGTGCATTTCAAAGTAAAATTCAGCGTATTTTGTATTAGTAGAGCTAAAATAAAATAAATATTAGGCATGTGATAAATATATATATATATATATATATATATATATATATATATATATATATATATATATATACATTTAGTTGTACAAGGAATAATATAATACTATATATAATAAATATCTAAAATTAATAATGTAAGGAATCGGATGAAACATCTAAGTCACATGTATAGTAATTAAAGATTGAATATTATTATGCCTCCGAATGCGGAGAATATAAGTTGAATATCGCAAAAACTATCTAACTTGTCTAAATATAACCTATTGATTAAAAAAAAAAGAAAAAAAGAAGTTATATATATTTTTTTCTGTGCGTGCGTGCGCGCGCGCGCGCGTGTGTGTGTGCGTGTGTGTGTGCGTGTGTGTAATTTAATAGTAAATATGTTATTAAATATGCAGTGTACGATGTGTGTGTGTGTGTGTGTGTGTGTGTGTGTGTGTGTGTGCCTGTATGTATATCTACAGGCGCACTCGAATTTATCCATAAAACACATATTTAATTGAAAAATTTATCATGAATATTTTTTATACTCAATATATTTCACATTAATTTTAATTTATAAATAATTAACATATACACTTATTTGTCGAACGGCATGAATATACAATGTCTCTTAATATACAATAAGTCATAAATTTTATCGTTTTTTTTTTTTTTTTGTTTTTTTGCTTCTTCCAATGCTGCGTCTTGACTATTCCCCTATTATTTCTTGTCGAGTACAGTAATTAATATTCTACCCATGAAAATTTGAAACTAGCGCGCATACGATAATCAGAGAGCCTGGACATTTAGTTAGTTGCACGACCTTACACCGCTGCATTACATCACTGTTTTTCTATCCTCAGTCTACAAAACCTTAATACTTATCTTCATGTGTATAATTCATCTTTCAGGCAGGCGTTGTTTACTTGGGTCATTTCATTTTGCAATATTTCAGCTTAGTAAATACAGACATTATAATGAATGATTCAGAGAAGCCATTTGTATGCGATGCAATTGGTTGCAATATGGTAAGTTAAGAGACGAGAGAAAATATTAAATTTTACGTTAACCTCTGTTAATTAATCATTCTTTAGAGCTTTATCAATGAAGATCATTTAACCGTTCATAAAAGTAAACATGACATGATGTTGAATCTTGGAATTAGCAACAAAAGCAACTTTTTCATTGGTGAGATTTACATTTTATTATCTGCATGCGTTTACTCATTCATTTATATAATGGGACAATTTTTTTTAATCTACCGAATTCTTCTACCGAATGATTTAAAACCATCTAAAAATAAATAACGATATATGCATAATACATGGTAAACAAAATACTTCATCGTTTTAACTTATGCCATTAGTTTCTGGCCATTTAGCTCGATTACAATTGATCCTAGAATATTGGATTTATAAAATTCAGAAGAAATTTGTAATTCAAATGAATTTATTATATTGTTAAATTTATTAAAATATATTTAATTTAACAACCGTCTCTGCGTAAAGTTACCACATAAGCTATATTATATTAACTTGTTATATATGAATAAAAACGTAATATATTATAATGAAATAATGTATGAGCATAATATGACTTTATAGTTATAATTTGTATTTTTCTTAAATTTTAATTGAGATAGTCGAGTGAATTATTGTACGAATGACACCGTTTCATGAATTACTTATAGATAATTTATGTATTTTATACTTTTATTGAAAACAAGTTTTGTTTATCTTATAAAGCTGATCAAACACCAACGCCTACAAGATTTATGAGAAATAGCGATGAAGTTGAATTGTTTCAAGATCTGCCCAGCGATAATCCATTTGAAGAAACTTTTCGTAGAGCCGTTGTAGCCGGAAAGAATGAAATTATTACCGTTCTAGAGGTATATGTAAAAGAAAAAATTTTCTATTTGTGTGCTCATTTTATTAACTGTTAAGTTTATTTTTTAAGTCTAATGACAATGATGATGCATTACACACTTCTAATGTATTTTCTCACACTGAGGAATTTCCAACTAATATTTCTGCAGTCTCTAGTGAGAACCCAGTATTAAAGTCAGAAATAAAAACTATTATTGAATCATCGTCTGTTGTAAAATCAGTATCAATCGATGAAGTAACTTTACAAAAAGGAAGTAAAAGCAATCACGAGCATGATTATATAAATTTTGAAAATAAACAAACTATTGAAAATAATAATTCAACGGTTGAAAATCTTGTATCTGCGGATGCCAGTTTTCTAGTGAAGGAGGAAAATAAATCGTACATTAAAAAAAATTTGATAATATTATATAAAAAAAAATATTTAATTAATACAATTATTCAATGTAGAATTTATGGTTTTAATAGGCCGGTATGTGGAACAAAATCTACGCTTCTCTTAACTCATGGTGACCAACTATTAACTTTTGTCGCTGCTCTGAAACCAGAACCTCGAGAATATTTCATAAGTACTGAATCGCAAAATCAAAATACATCAAATGCTATAATAATAACAGATAGTTATGAAAAACTGAAATCAAGTCGAATTCAAAAACAGATGTCAGTAGCTAAAACGGTAAATCATCATGATATACTTACAATAATGATTGATAAACTAATTTTATGAGTAATATTTTGTGAAAAATAATTTCACATTCAAAAGACAAATGATAAAATGTCTAGATTAAAATATATTAAATATAATTAAATATACATGATATTATATAGTTCTATACAATTATCAATTTTATTGTAAATACTTTAACAAATTGAGAACTAATTGAACAATCTATTAATATTGTGATAACAAGTTTTTTAAGAAATGTTTCAAAATATATTAAACCTTCCATCCGGTAGAATAATTTTCATACGATATATAATAAATAAATAACTTTAATAATCCAATTTTCCATAGAATAATTTTCATAATAGAATAAAAAAGCACAACAATGTCTATACATGTAGAAATTTAATTTAACGTGTAACTTTAACGAGTCTAATAATGTAACGTAATAAGTAAACTTCTTTAAAAGTTTAAAAGTTTACTAATACCATAAAATACATTTTTTAAATATAAATTATTATATTTATATGTTTTAGTCGTTACAAAGTGTATTGACCGAAAATGGCACGAGCATCGAAAACAGCAGCATACAAAACATTGAAAATGAGTATTTATTGATCGATCGCTCGAAGCAGAAAAGCAAATGCAATATTGCAAAGAAACAAGCAATTTTGGAAAGAAATAGAGCGAGCTCGATGCGTGCCCGTGCTAAAAGAAAAGTTTGGATCGAACAGCTACAACAATCGTTGAGAATTGCTAACGAATCAAATGTCACACTACAAACTCAAGTAAAAATTATGCAAGCTCAAATTACCAAATTAAAAACTCTTCTATTAGCACATAAGGATTGTCCTGTTACAAAAGCCATGGAAGGAGGTATTTAATTTATAAATTAAATGCTTGTATGACATTTGATCTTATCTTATTTAATTATTGATTAAATTTGCAAATTACGTAAATATATAGCATACAGTCGTTTATTCCTGTTAAAAAGAAAAAAAATTGTTGAACAATATTAGAATAGTTATACCTTTATACATATTTATATTATTGTAATACTTGATAATATATTGATTAATATTATATTTATTTACAATTATTTGTAAGTCAGCGATAATTAATATTTTTTTGTATGCAAACTGTTGTTATTGTAGTATTAGAGTCCATTTAAAATCAATTTTATTTTATTTTCAGGAAATAAAGGCTTTTCCTCTAACGTGTTGACAATAAAACCAAATCACATGCTGCAAGTACCAATTAGTGATAAACCAATTAAATGCAGAAAACGTATTATTAAGGACAAATTAATTATACCAAAAAATCCTATAGTAATTTCGTCCCTAAAGAATGTTATTATTTTACCAAAATCAGAATCCAATGATAACATAATTCCTCTTCATAGAAATGAAAAGATAAAACAAATACCAATTGTTAATATTGTTACACCATATTATGCAAATAACGAAAGTGGTAAGAAAGTTATCGATTCCTTGCAATCCGATTTTAGCAAAGTGTCGTCTATGCAACATGCTAGATTATCAAATAAAAATTTTAATGAAAATGCAGCATCTAAAACTACTGGCACTTGAGTTTATTTAAGAAAGTTTTTAAATATCATTTCACAGCTTGAAACTAAAAAACAACAATTCGCTGGACATGTAAAAATATAGATATCAGTGGATGTGATAATTTATAAAAATAAGTTAACGACTACTGTTAAAGATGATTATTATTATGATGAATAATTTTATTAAAAAACAATTATCTATTATGTATTTTCTACTTATTTTTTACAATTTTATTAATTATTAATTACATTAATAAATATTTTCTAAGTAAAGCACACACGTGCACGTTTCAACGTGTATTGTACATATTAACGATATTAAATTCTATTTATTATGTTGCATTATAATAGTATTACATTTTTTCGATTAAAAAATAAAATGGAATATTAATGAAAGTAAAATAAATGTTAATAAAACACAGAGTGATTTACTTTTTATCAAACATTAATATACTGAATTTATTATTAGTGAAAATATTGATAAAAAATATCTACTAGTTTTAGATAAATGAAACGTATTTATGTAATTGCTGATTTATATTATATATTGGAAATTACTTTGTATGCATATCCTTGAAACTATATTAAAAATATTTTAATGTCTTGTTCGAAAACAAAAGTATAAATTTTCTAACGATATATAATTTTTACAATCGTTATTACTTTAAAAGAACAAATGTTACATTATTTTATCCTTAAAATATAAAACCGATAGTTATAGGGTTAAAACTGTAAGCATTGATATTAGTTTTAATAAAAATATTTTTAATCTTGACAAATAACTTTTTATACTCTATCTCAATTTTTTAAAATGATAATTACATCTATACAAGAGTATCAAATGAATTGATAGGTAGGTAGATGAAAAGGGAACAAATTCATGATAATAAGAAATAAATTCAAAACATTCACAGAATATAATTTATATTTACATTTATTGAGAATAAAATGATAGTAAACATGTATGCTATATTTTATTATTTTTTAATAAATTTTTTCTTGATATTTCATTAATTCAATATTTTCTTGAAGAGTGTAGTCCCACGATGCATTTGTGACCCTCGGGCCCTTATCAGTTCTCCGTCCAGTCGTCCAAAATTTTAACACTCGACAGAAGAATGATAAGGGGCTTTAGGCACATTCTTTAATTTCTCAATGACAGAATTTGATTGAAAATATTAATGCTTTGCATGGATAAGCAATTATGAAACTTAAATAATAAATAAATAAGATACCTAAAAATTCTTCGCAAGCTTAGACATTTGAACAATAAGGAATTACATTATTTAATTTTCGAAATTTTTGGTACAAGCGTTAAGAAAAAAAAGAAAATAATAAATAAATAAATAAATAAATAATAATAATATAAAGTTATCAGTTTGCGTGTAAATATTACTAAGGGCCTATGATTTCCTATGAGATAGGACTGGTTGATTAGGTAGCAAAAAAATGACTTGCATTCTTCAAATATTATAATGTAAATGTTACAAGAGTACAAGAGTAATAATCTGTTTCATTGGTATATTATTTGACGATATATAATTTTATGTAAAATAATATGTTGCTTATTTTCAACTTAAGATATATTTATCTATTAATTTAAAATTTTTATGTTTTAAAATAAATTTACATGAAAATTTATCAAATGAAATATTTTTTCACTTTGTATAAATAAAAACAGATATCAAAATTAAGTTTTTTTTTTCTTCTTCGTCTTGTTCTTTTTTAAAAAAAATTTATTCCATTACAAAGGTAAATTGCTTAATAAAATACAATCGAACGATTATCGTTGGTTTATGTTAAATTTCTTGTCACGACTGACCATATTTCAATATGATTTAATGCAATTTATTTGAATAATTTAGTAAAAATAAAGTTTCATAATTAATCGATTGTCAGAATGAATGAAATATTTTCAAATAAACACAATAATATCTGTGCGTGTAAAATGTTAATAAATTAACATGGAAAGAAGTTTTAATAAATACATTTAATGTATCTTTATACTCTTGCTTCATGAAATTCTAATGGCTCGTATTTTGAAAATTATTTCGTTTTACTATACACATATCTAACATTTGCATTATGTCATTGAATTTTATCATTATATTGTCTTTTTTTTTTCTTTTTTTTTCATTCTCTTTTACTTAAATGATAAACGAATAAGCGATTGTCATAAGATTGTTTTAAATTTGGTTAAAAGTTACGATTAATTTTTGAAGAGATACTGGCCTTACGGTGAGTTGACATAGTGTTTAAGGAATATCGCACGACTTGACCTCTGTTTAACGGTAAAGTCTGATAAATCGAATAAATAGCGAATAAATTGGAAGTCGTTGTGGAATTAGAAAGGAAAAGAGAAAAAATAAAAAATAAAAAAAAATACAAATTCCAATACCTTCCTTACACTTGTATTATGAATTTCCAGACCCCGAGCCTTGAGCTACGTTTAAGTCTTTGTCGGTCGGGATGAAACGAATTCGAATATTCATAAATGAACAAAGAGAATCATCCAACACGTAGGTCGTTGAAAAAAAAATTGATATCGCAGAGCCTTGAGAATTTTATGAATACTTTCTTCTTCCTCAAGCTCCTTCTTCTCTTCAATTTTCGCACTGAAAAACAAACGCAGCAGAAAGGCCAAAGGCACACCGAATCCCCAGTCGTGTACGAGATTTGGGGCATTAAACCCCGTGGCGCAAAAACAATTTAATTCTTTCCAAACGTTGTTGGCAGCAATTTTTTACTAGCATTATTTATATACCACTCCCGGGCGTCTGCGCGCACTTCCCGTTCGGTTTCAAGCCTCCTTTGTACTTGTCTGGAGCCGCGGTACGAAGCTTCGGCCATGTTTGTCGTTTGGTCCGTTGGCCGTGCAAGGCAACGAAATGTCGAATTGCGTTGGCACACCGCTCTCACTACTACAACTACGACTATTACTATTCATTTTCTACTTATTCTTCGTCTTCTTATTGTTCTTCTACTTCCTCATCTACTTCTTCGTCATCATTTCTTTCTCAACATCATCATCGTCATCGTCATCGTCATCGTCGTCATCATCATCATCATCATCATCATCATCATCATCATCATCATCATCATCATCTTCTTCTTCTTCTTTTTCTTCATCATCATCTTCTTCTTCTTCTTCTTTTTCTTCATCATCATCATCTTCTTCTTCTTCTTCTTCTTCTTCTTACAATACGGGGCCTCCTGGAACAGTTAAAATAAGCGTGTTAAAGCTCTTGTCCCATCACCGCAAAGAGCACACATGCGTATATGCGTGACAATATGTCTCCCCCTCCTATGCCCACGGAAACGTCTCGGGCGGCTCTTATTCGAATCACGTGGCGCGCGCGCGAGCTTTTTTTCCTTTTTTCAAGATGCATCAGCCGCAAGTTAGAGATCGCGCGGCAGGCGATCACCGCCCCGAACACAATCCTCGGCCCCGCGCTTAACTCCCACAAAGAACAAAATCGTCGCGGCTGCGGTTGTCGGCTCCTCGGCTCATCGCCTTCGCCGCACACTACCTCCGCCCCCGAGCTCGAACGAACGAACGAACGAACGAACGAACGAACAAACGAACGAACGAACGGACGGACGGACGGACGAGCGAACGAACGAACGAACGAACGAACGAGCGAACGAGCGAACGAGCAGCGAACGAGCAGCGAACGAACAAACGACTTCACCACTACTACTGTCTCTCTCCGAATGTCTCCTTTACTCCCGCGTCCCAACTAAGAACTATCGCCACCACCTCTACTGTCAATGCCCGCGCGGCGAAGGGAGGGGCGGTCGACATGACGAGGCGGGATGGAGTGGGACGGAGCGGGACGGAGAGGGACGGAGAGGGACGGAGCGAGGCGGGAGAGGCAGGAGGAAGGGAGATGGGAGAGCTAAGCGGTTCTCTTGGCGCACACGCGGGCACAGCTGCCTTTTAATGGTTGGCGGTGGAGACGGAGCTGGCGGTGGGGTTCCGCGTTGGTGGTGGCGGAGAAGGAGGGGAAGCAGCGACAGAGAGGGATGATTTGAAAAGCTTTGGCTTTTCCCCTCTCAGTCTCTCGCATTTGTTCGACGTGCCCAGTGGTTTCTCCCTCTCTTGCGTTTGCCTTCCCCTACCGATGCTTTCGTCATCGGCCTGCTGCCTGGCTAAGGAATTACGCGAGTGCATGTGTGTATGTAGCATATACACGAGACAGCGCCCTCTGCTGCCTCGTATGAGACGCTTGCTGTGCCAAACCTATATTTGTCTGCATGTCACGCACGCTCTTGATCGCTCTTT